CTCGGGAGATCGCGGGAGTGAGGGGGAGGGGGAGATGGGGGACGATTCAACCGGGTTGGACTCGGCCCGACGCCACCCCACGCCGTCGAGCGCGGCCTCCACCCCGAGCCGCGGCGGCCTAACCCCCAACAGGGCGCCCGAGGGGAATGCATGGTATTCCTCGCCTCCTGCCCGTCGCGATCGCGGCGTCGGATTGGGCATGGCGCCTTCCACGACCTCGTTGAGTCCCCCTCCGGAGGCCCAACTGAGGGCGGCGATTTCTCTCATCGACGTCCCGGTGTTTTCGCGCTCCGGGACGGGGCTGGACGCGACGCGGCGAAATAAAAGCTCCGACGGCCTTTCCTCCACCTCTCAAAACGAAATGCGGTGCGGCGAGAACGGGCTCGTGAGCCCGGAGGCGTGGCGGACCTTCAAGGAAACCTCGCACACGTCCCTCAAGGACATAGCCATTCGCCTGCCTAAACGAAAAGAATCACGAAACGAACTCCAGCACCGCTTGGTGAATCACTTTGACTCGTCATTTTGTTTTTTCCTGAACCACAAGGAGCAGACCGCCTATTTGCTGGAGCGTCTCCAGGCGGCCTCACTTCGGGAGGCCGAGGCCCCGAACCCTTTGTTGGACTCGCAGATGGCTCAGCCCAACGGGGAGCAAAAACCGGAATGGATCAACTACAGCAGCACCGCTCTCGAGATGTCGGATACCCTTCATTCCTGCCCGGACCATCCGTTTTCTCACTTGTCCGCATTTAACAGCATCCTGCAAAAGTTTTTTAACTCTCTGACCCACGAATTTCTTTCCCCGATCACGTTTTGGTTCATGGCGACTACCCAAAGCTTCTCCGCCTTCACCTTGTGCGATATCGCCGTCGCAGAGGGGATTCTCTCCGCGGATAATTTTTTAGAGTTCTTCCGTGAAAACCACCGGCGAATTACCCCTGGGCTGTGGACGCGGCACTATCGCTATAGCAAATACAAAACCATTTATGAGCGCTTTGCCCACGGCTCGCTCTTCCACGCCTATCTCAAGCAGCTTTTGAGCGAAAAGCTAAGCAAGGCCTTAGAGGAGTTCGAGACGGTGGAGTGGGTGAAGGCTTTTCCGTACGAGACGGAGCGAATTGATATGATCATTAATTTGTACAACGTGGTGAAGCGCGAACTGACCCAAACCCTCGATCCCGATGTGATGTTTATCACCACAGCCACCTCGGTGCTGGCCAGGATGGCCTTGAGCATTAACCAACCCTTGAAAGACCAGCTTTTAATGAAGGTGGGGAATCTGAAGTTGTAAAGGGACTAAAACAAACGTCAATTCCTTCGCATAAGGGGGAGGGGATGCCAACATCACATTGGGGCGACAAAATGGTATGGAGGTGCATTATAACCCTAAGCACCATCTTCACATTTCAATTTCCCGCGATGTAAAACATGAAGACCCTTTGTAGTGATGCCTGACACCAGACCAATTTAAGGCGATGGTTAATTTCCTTAAAAAGGTTAGGTTCTTTTTTATTTCTTCTTCTTTCAAGGGAAGCATCAAATAGAAATCACGCTTTTACACACACATATATCTATCTATCCATATAAAGATTCATCAATCTAGATATAAATATTAATCGATATATTTCTCTCTCTCCATATAAGTCGATTACGCGTAGACGAGGGGTGGTGTCTTCGGTTGCCGCGACCCGCCGACCGCAGGAGGATGCTGACGGACCACCAGGCGGCGGTGCTGATTAAGTACTACCAAAGCGTCCGCCTGAGCGGGGGGCAGAAGGACCGGCTAATCCAGAAGTATTGGGCCGCCAATGGCGAGGATCGGAAGGAGATCGCGCGGGTCTACGCCTCGCTTTTCGCCAACGACGCGGCCTTCGTCCAGCGGCTGATGTTTTACCACGACCACCACCTCAACCCGTCCGGGGGCGGAGGGTCCCAGGGCCATGGGAGGGATGCCATGGCGAGCGGTGGAAGTGAGGGCGGGAGTTCGGCCCCGGGCTCACCGTTTTCGGGCGCCAACCCCGGCGGGGGGTTTTCGCTCGCGGGGTCCTCGCCTCGGCGCCTCACCCACGCCCAGCGGCTCGTCCGGACGGCGATTCAAGACCAATTCCCCAAACTTCCCGGGCCGGGCCCCTACGCCCTGCGGTTTTCCCTCGTGATGTCGGAGGCGGAGCGGAGGGAGGTGGTGGAGCTTTACGCCTCCCAGTTCGAGTACCCGGACCCGCCGGAGCTGCAGAAACTCGTGATGCCGCCGCAGTCCTTGTCAACCCGCACGCGAAAGCGGATTAACGGGAGTTATAGTTGGTTTCTTCGCTGCGAGAGCACCGGGGAGGTGGTCTGCGCGGTCACCATCACCGCGCACCATCACCAAACGCACAAATTTGTCGAAATGCCGCTCTTCGCGACCGCGGCGGGGTATAAAAAAAACGGCTTTGGGCGGCTTTTGAACGCCGCGCTGGCGACCTGGTGCCGGCGGAAGGAGTTCGAGTTTATCATGATCTCCGCCGACGTCCAGGCGATCCCGTTTTGGCGGCATCTGGGCTATGAAATGATGTCGAAGCGGGAGCGGAACGGCATCGCCTTCTTTTACGAGCACGAATGCTATAAATTTAAGGGGGCGGAGGCGATGATCGGGTATTGCCGGCCTTCTCATGGGAAGCTCAACGCGGAAGTCTCGGAGTTGGGCAAAAAGTCCCCCTTTTTGTTGTTTAATCATCAGCGACCTGAAATCGTATTGCAGGGGATGCCCAACTTCGTGGTAGTAGGGGGGCTGGAGCTTCCGTAGGATCGCGGGGGAGGGCACTCAACGTCGGTGGAAATATCAGAATCCATTGGCCTAATTCTGGAAAACCCAACTTTCGATATTGTTTTTTTTTCTGAGTGGGAGGTGGAGCAATGGTACCACTTCGGGTAGGCCCCATAAGTGCCTTAAAATTGAGGTTGTGTGCGGGTCTGCCAAAGCGAGGCTTCTTGTAATTTTTACCTTTTCGTTTTCTGCTTCTTTTTTTGTGGCTCAACTGCCCTCCAGATTGGAAGGCGTTAGGAATATAAAGGTGCCTTCTTTTCAGTAGTTCATCCGAGTTTTATTTTATTTGCTGAGTTATTGGCTTTAGGGCGTGAGGTATTTTTTTTTGCCCTTTTCCTTTATTTTGAAGCAGGAAGCCCGATAGCTTTAAGGTGTAAGTTTATGTGTGGCTAACTTTTAACTAGGGGTAGCCATATTATTATTATTATTATTATTTAACAATTTTTTAATTGAGAAACTTTGGGCGTGCGTAAAGCGAAGGTCTTACAGGCATCACGACCTTGTGAAGCCCATTTTTAGTTCATTGCTAAGGCTAAATATATATATATATATACATATATATATATATATATATATTTAAAAAGTAAAGGATGAACGGCGGATCCGATGTTGACGTCGTCCAGCACGTTCTACGCCACAAGACGGACTACTACCGCATCTTCAACCTCGAGCGGAGCTGCACCGACGCGCAGATCAAGTCCGCCTACAAAAAAATGGCCCTACGATGCCACCCCGACAAGAACAAACATTCCAACGCCGCGGAGGCCTTCAAGATCGTCGCGGAGGCGCATTCGACGTTGATCGATGCGGGCAAGCGGCGCGTTTACGACCAGGTCGGCCCCGCCGGCGTCCAACAACACGAGCGAAGTGGGGGGCGCCGCTCCTACGCGGCCCATCCCGCCGGGGGGGTTTTTATGGCGGGCGGCGGCCACGCCGCCGCGCGGGACATCTTCGAGGAGTTCTTCGGCGGCGGCATTTTCCATTCCTACCCGCGGAATTTTTATCCCCCACCCCCCATCCTAGGGCCGCGGCCGGCGGCGCGGCCGGGGCGCGCGGCCCCTCCGACGCCGACGCGACCCAGGGTCTTTTTATGATCATCCCGATCATTATTTTCCTGCTGTTGGCCCTAATTTTGCAGAGCAATTTCATGGATTTCACCGCCCCCGCCGCCAGCTCGGCGGGGAAAACCCCCACCTTTAGTCTTACCCCCTCCCAGGCCGAGGATCACGTCGTGAAGCTGATCACCTCCCTTCACGGGATCCACATTCCGTACTACACCACCCCGCAGTGGTATGAGGTGACCCGCTACCGAAAGGACCTCCTGCAGGAGATGGAGCGCGAGGTCCTGCGGCGCCAGGAGAAGTATTTGGGGAATGTCTGCGAGGCGGAGAAGATGAAATACCGCGCCCTCGGCCAAAACGAGTTCCCGAAGGTTTGCTTGGAGCAT